CTACTCTCACACCATGCCGACTGTGTAAAGTCATCAGTGATGAATCCCTCCCTCAGCACACCCGTTCACCAGCCCTTTCCACAAGCAAGTTCAGTGCAAAGCCACAAAACAAACATCGGCAGAGAGCAGCTGTGGTAACACGGGAGAAATCGGGAAACTCTCACAGCACACCCAAAACAACTACACTTGGATCTGCTTATTAAAACGTAGGAGCTTGCTCTCAGCATCTATTAGTGTGTGACTGTAGCAGCTGCCACAAGAAAAACAGCATTTATGGACCTGCACATCACTCCTTGAAAAGAATTCAAAGGGTGTTCGCATCCCTCAGTACCTACTCCAGTGACCCACAAAAGCTGGCAGCATGGGTAGGGAAGGGAGCGTGGCCACTGACATCCGTGTTCTGCCTTGGACCATGAAAGCGAGCCCACAACTGTGGCAACAGCATCCAGCGTCACTCTGGTGGGGCAGGAGATGGGCAGAACACAGCCCTGGTGCTCATGGCACCGAGGTCTTGGGTATTTGGAAAAGTCAGAGTGCGGGAAGACTCTGTGGCCTTCCCATCAAAGCTGGCACACAGCTCTGTAACTGACTCCTTAAACTCAGAATGGTGTCTCTACTAAAAAGAGGTATTATAATAAATCAGTAATTTCATGAAGCGTGCAAATGAAAGCATCTAAAAGTATGAACGGGCCACTTTAGATTAAAATAAAAGAGGGTTTAAAAAAAAGTAATAAAAGATAGTAAAAGTTGCCGGAATTGTTTTGCGTTACTGAGATGCATAAAAATTCAAGAGTAATTGCTCCTTACAGGAAAAAGAGAGTAACTGTTGAAGTTTTTAGAACTGTGCAATTTCGCTAAATAACTCTGTGTCACTTTAAAAGAAACAACACTTCAGTGAGAAGTCCAGGTAATGGCTGGCTGGGTGAGAAGGAGCACTCTTCTTTTTTTGGACAAGTTTAGTGCTGTCTAAATTGGCATTTTCTTTGTAAGAACACAGTTGATTTTTTTATTTTTATTTTTATTTTTTTAGCCAAAATCTGCTTGCAGAAGACGCTGTGGGTACGGCTTTTGATTTTCAAACAACGACAATGAAATAAGGAACAATGCAGGTAATAGTAAACCACATCTCCAGTAAATAACTCTCCTGCTCTTCTGCCCACAGGCACGTTTCTCAGGCAGATCACAGACTGCTTGCCACACACGCTCCAGGAGAAATCAAGTGAAATACATTTCTTGTTTTGCACTTAAAATAGTAACAGAAGAAAAAAACCCTACATATAGTAGGACCTTTTTTTTCTTTAAGCACAGATACACATGCATTTATCATCACTGCACGCCTACTGCTCACTGCACCAAGATTTAAGGAATACTTTTTAGCCAGAATATTTGTGGTACAAGCTGAAAAATCATTCCATGATACTTCCTTCAACATATAAAGCCACAATAACAATGCCCCATTCTAAAAGAACAGTATTAACTTAATCATATTTTATTTTTAAATAAAAATAGGTTACGAAAGCTTGAGACCAAACACAATTTTTTGTTATTATGTCTCAAATGCTGTGGGAAAACTCTTCTTAGGGCTATTTAGTTCCTCAAGTTGTTCATTACATTTATAACAATCCTATCCAAAAAGCTTCGTTAGCTTTTTGAAGCAGACAAAAACGAAAGTTATACAGTGGTAGCTCCATGTCACTGCTCCAGCTGCATAAAAGCAAAATCTTTTTAGTAATTACTTAGTTTGTCATTCTGACATCAGAGCAAGAAGCTCCATGAATGCATTTCAGACAGGCCTCACTTTCAATACAACTTCACAGCACAGCATACTTTCCATTCCAAACTTCTCAATTACTCTTTATATTCTGCCAAGACGACAACTACTGATATTACTGAATTACTGAATTATTCCTCATAAAAAAGGAGGAGGAAAAAAAAAAAGGGAAAAAAATGAAACAAGCAGCTAACAAAAGCTTTCCCCAGTGACCCAGGTCTAAATGTGCTACAGACTATTTTAACAAGTCATCATTAGAAGACTGAGCAATACAAGAGATTTTTTTCAAATGGACTTGTATATTCAGCACAAAAGACCCCGCAGGGATGGGGACGCGGGAGTCCTGGCAGGTGGTGCTGCTGCAGGGCAGAAATTAATACGAAAACATTTTAAGCTGGTTTCTTGCCTGAAGGAGCTCTCTGTATTTTTTCATTCAGTGAGAAATGTAAACATATTCAATGTTGGCAATTTTTAGGACAGAGGAGTAAAATGTAGATTTAAAAAAAAAAAAAGTTGGATGAACAGTTATTTTCATCATCCCAGCTGTTCTATTTTCTCAACTATCACCACCTCCACGGCAGACCCTCCCTCTGCCACAGCGTTTTAGCTTAGGAAGACGGAAAAGCGAACCAGGAAGGCACAGCCTGTGATTTTCAGCAGACCATAGTTCAGTTTTATCAAAACCAATTCTTCCTCAGTAGCTCCCAAATACGTCTTCCAGAACACCATAAACTCTGCTTCCACGTATTTTCACTTCAGAAACAAAAAACCCAGTATTTTCATAATGAGTAGCATTCTCATATTCCAAAATGGACAAACTGCCCTTGCTCAAACTTTCCAAAAATGAAATCCACTTTTGGCAGCAGTTAGGCTGGAAAGGGGGAAAAAAAAAAAAATCAGTCCAAAAGCCAAGAGTTTGGAAAAAAGGGAGAGTTACAAAGCAGAGGTACAGAATGGAAACTGCTGGGGTTTTTTTTGCTCCCTTTCGCTGCACTTCAGTGGTCTTCCTCATGAAAAAGCAATTTCTCATCTTTTGGCAAATTAAAAAAATGGCAATCAGGAACTAAACAAAGTCATTACACCAGACTTGTTATTTCCTTCCTTGACCAGAAATACACAAACATTTCAGTAAGTTTATAGTTGTTTATCTACAGCCCTTTTGTAATCTGTTAGATCTCTGTCCAAATGCAGTGTGATACACACAAAACACCCTCAGGACTCCCTGTTAATAACTATCATTAATGCCACGTATAAACAAAAACTGCATTTCTGAATACATGGTGTATGTGTAAATCACATTTATTAGAAAAAAAGAAATAATGTGAGATGGCGAGGAACTTTTTGTTGTCATGGTTAGAACAAGACGAATTACAGCTCCATATCTAGATTTTAATCTGCAGATTGGAAAAGTAAAACCTAACCATCTTCTTTTCAGTACTTCATCAGTTTCTTCAAACCTGACTGGAACAAGTAGCTCAAATGAAAACAGCCCCTGCCTCCCCACAAAAATGGGGGGACAAAAAAGCATACTCTGGTTTCATGTGCTCAGCCAAATACTGCTTAAATACTACTTCATTTTGATCACCTGAACATTAAGTAATAACTTTCAGCTTCAAATATTTCAATCTTTCTTTTAATACTTTGTAAAGAAAACTGTATTTTAAACACACATTTGTTTTATTCACTTTTATGTACTGACAGGTCAGTTTACTAAGACAGCACCAAAAAGCCTTTGTGGTGCCTCTAACAACCTGCAGAGCATGGGATGCGCAGCCTCTGACACCACGGATTTGCCTCTCTCGTCCGGGGGCCTCCCCACTGTGTCTCCCTTGTGCCCCCCTCCACGTCACTGCATCCCCCCCGTGTCGCTGCCGGCCGCGCACCGACGACGGTAATCCCCACGACTTCCAGAATTAGGTCGAGCGCTACAGGAGTCAACCCAGCCCACACGGATGGTTTGTGAAATGCTTTCCAGCTTTCTACCCCCTATTTCATGGTCAGAGGCTGAATGTTGGGAATACAGCACCTCCCTGCAAACAATTTGTAACTCCTTCACAAATTCAGAGAGCATACATTTTCAAGGCGTACTTCTTTTTTTAAGTATTGTGTGTCACTGTATTTCTACGCTGCATTGAAATCCAATTTACTCAAATATGGAAGCTGCAAAACCAAATACAAGTTTTGGAGCTATTTTAAGTTACAGTATTAGACTGCATATTAGGCATAATTTTTGTTTATAAAAAACCTCTTAAGACTCCCTCTCAAGATTTTTTCCTTTTTGTCCTAAGATTTCAGTGGTGGGTTTGTTGTTTTCTAAACAGAATCTACAGCCAGACAAATTATTCTAGAAATGTAAGCCTCTGGCTCATTTAATTAAGAAGCATTAAAACCTGTGATAATTTAAA